TTATAAATACCCAAATGTGGACGCCATGGCCCTTTGTCTCACTTTTATCTCATAGTACTCCTTTTGAGATTAAAAGAAGCTTTATTGTAAAAACAAAATGGAAATGGTACTTCTTTAAAGCAAGTATTTCAAAATATCTATGGTGTATTTTCTTGGGATCTTGATTTTATTATGAAAAAGTCCAGTAATTCCTTGGGAAAAATAATTAATGGCTAATGTTGAGAGTAAGAAATTTAACTTTCATTGAAGAAGAACCATTTCAAGTTCTTAGAGACAGCATATTAGCCTCTGGAGCCAAGACACCGTACTCAAGAGCCTCAGCCATCTGGAGAAGTGGTTTCCATGTGAAAATTTACAGTTGCATGATTGTATTTTAGTGCTTGCCGTTTGGTTTCTCATGAGAAACTTCCTTCTTTTGGTGAAGTTATTTAAATGTGAACTTGGCTTGCATGGTGTCCAGAATTCCAAATTCTCATTAGAAGGGAGTCAATGCCTTGGCCATATGTGGAGGGTCCCTTCTTTTGATAGAATCGCCTGATAAATGGATATATATTTTTGGCTGAAAGGAATTGCAGTTCCAAGCTTGATAAAAACTACTTCTAAATTCTTTGTCAACAACCTTGAAACCTCTGGTAGAGAAATTACTTTCTTTCTTTTTCTTTTTTTTATTAGAAGTGATAAATGAATTAATGAATTTAGAGGAATTATGTTGTATCAGTAAGAAGATAATTTTTTACTTGTATGTTCCTTCGTGGTAATTTTTTATTGTTGAGAAGCAAAAGATGGATTACGAAGGTGAAAGCCATTAATTTAATATATAATGTGGGGTATAGCTTGTCATTAATAAACATTTCACCTCATGTCAGTTTTGTTTTGGCCTTCCATGTTTTATCACACATTTGGTATTTTTGTTGAAACCATTTGGCCACTGTTGATTGGACAGATTATTTATAAAACAAAGATAAAGTAAATTAAGATTGTCTCTAGGATCTTAGAATATTTAATATTTGTCCTTGGAGGTACTGGATTTAAGGATTTAATTCTTTTTTTTTTCTTTCTTCACATTTTCTCTTCGCTGATTTCCATTGATGTATCTTCAAAATCATTGATTCTTTCCTCAGCTGTGTCATGCTATTGATGAGGATGGTGAAGGCATTTTCTAACTATATTGCTGTTTTTCATTTTTCATACTTCTCTTTGATTCTTTCTTAAAATTCCTCTGTCCTTGCAGAAATCACCCATCTGTTTTTTTCATGTTATATTTTTTTCATTAGAACCTCTGACATTTTAATTATAGTAATTTTACATTCCCTATCTGATCGTTCCAACATCTGTGTCATATTTGCTTCTGGTTTGAATACTCCGTCTCCTGCAGTGAGCTCTTCTTGCCTTTTCATATGTCTCTCTCTCTCTCTCTCTTTTTTGCTGTTGTTGAAAGTTGGACATATTTTATAAATATTTTCTCTATGCTCGCTTGCTTGTTGCTCTGGTTACCCTCCATGCAACAAAGACTTCAGATTCTGCTGGTCATACCTATGTTTAGAATGCAGGCCCATTTTCCAGAGAGTGTTCCCTGCTGTCTGCCTTCTGGTTGGCTTAGGGTCTCCCTGGTTGGCTTTGGGTGTTCTTTTTATGTTGCCTCCAGAGACAGTCTGTCTGCTGTACTCTCCCAGCTGTGTTCCACTGTTGCTTTTGCTCTGTTAGCATGGTGTTGGGGGAAAGGGAAGAAGGACCATTTTGGATTCCTCAGTCTCAGGCAGACCCAGGGAGGCTGGGTGTTCAGTGCTGACTTTAATGAGTGCTCCCACAGCCGATGGCTATAATGCTGGTCCTCTCTAGGCAGAGAACTTTCCTTTGCCCTTCTGTTCTCTAACTGCCATGGTCTTCCACCAGTGCCGTATGATGGCTATGTTCATTGCTCTTCCTCCAGAGATCAAGGTTGCTGTTCCTTCCCTATCCAGCACCATGAAGGATGCTGTCTCAGAATTGTCTAAAGTTTTCCTGTGAGTGCTTTCTGGGGTTTGTGGAGTAAAATCATGCAAGAGGCTGCTCACGTTCCTATATTTCTATTCCCCAAGGAATTTAATTTGTCATGCTTGTCCACCTGTGCCATTGATCAATTCATTAAAATTTTTCTCTGTATCTTTTAACCAGCTCGTGTAGTACCTGGTGGTATTGGCCCAGGTAAACAAACACTCAAATCCTTTTTCTCTCTTCATGAGTTGATCTCCTCCAAGATTCTGGGTTAGTTGGTTGATCTGTGGCCTCAGTTCTCTGTTGGGTTCAAGAGAAGTCATTTGTTTGCAATTTGCCTCGCTTCATCTTTTTCTTTTTCTGATTGTAAGGGCAACACTTTCTTCACGTGCTTTCTCTCTCCTGAGCTGACATGGGAAGCCCTTTCCTGAGGCCTAAACACATAGAAAATGACACTTTCTCAGATACATGAGCCAAAGCTACTGCTTTCCTCTTTTCCTGGAGGGAAGACCTATATAAACTAGGTTGCAAGGCCCTACTCTTGTTTTGAAAAGCACATCTGCACACGATTGCACTTGCCAGAAACCTCAAGTTGTTCAGCCAGTCTCCTGAGCACTGTAGCTTTCACATTTTGGAAAAAGCTTTGGAAAATAGGAATGAAGATTGAGTTGTATGTTAACCAGGACTTATGTACTCCAACATGAGGGGTGCCGGCTGGAAGAATCATTATGGATGGGATGAGGCCACAGCTGAAACCAAGTTGCACCACAGGGATTATGAGAGGGAACTCTGGTTGGTGTGTGAGTGCCCTGGTGTGGGGCTAAGGGTCCCAACTCACTGGAGAAGTTCTTGCAATAGTGGTTTTGGAGAGGAAGCAAAAACCTTCCTTTTAAAGCCAGGTCATAAACTCTCTCAGCAAAGTTGTTTGTAGGAAATGGTAGAACAAATATTATTTAAGGAAGAGTGTGGGGAGATTAGGATTGTGTCCAGCCATGGAATTTAATCTTACCTGAGGGAAGTGATTATGTTCATTTGCTGACGAATATTAAATAAGCCAGCTTGGGAAGGGAACTAAGACTGTCACACATTCTCCCAAAGAGAATGATAGGAAATTCTTTCCCCACAGGGCCTGAGGAGAGCAGAAAGTGGAGACAACTGGAAGATGGTCTTCTACTTCTATGCTGCTTATATGAGTTTTCTGATTGATTGATTGATTGATTTTGGTACTGAAGATTGAACTCAGGGGTTCTCAACCACTGAGCCACATCCCCAGCCCTATTTTTTTTTATATTTTATTTAGAGAAATAGGGTCTCACTGAGTTGCTTAATGCTGTGCTTTTGCTGAGGCAGGCTTTGAACTTTTAGTGATCCTCCAGACTCAGCCTCCCAAGCCACTGGGATTACAGGCATGCACCACCCGTGCCTGGCTCTGTATGAGTTTTCTTAAGTAACATACAATTTGGGTGGCTTCGGCAACAGAAATTTGTCACCTCACATTTTTAGAGGCTGAAAGTGCAAAAGTGAGATGCTGGCAAGGCTGGTTCCTTCTAAAGGCTATGAGAGATCAGTCTATTCTAAGCTTCTCTCATCTCTCCTCCTTGTGTCTCTTCACATTGTCTTCTCTGTGTATCTATGTCCACATTTCTTCTTTTCTTAAGGACCCCACCATAATCCAAATAAGACCAGGTACTAAGAAGCTGGCTGTTAAGACTACAACTTCAGACTTAGGGGAGGGACACAAGGCATCCCACACTATTCCTCATTTTAGATGTGGACTATGGAGGCCCAGAAGCAGGACAGAGATGGGCAGGGAGTGCTCAGCAACAGATATGCATTGAAGGTCAGCCTTGTGACGCTGTCTGGGGCTAGCACCCTGACTGAATCTACCCTGCTTCTGTTTGCCTAGAGGTCACATTTTAATGAGGAGTTGGAGATAACCCCAGAAAACAAGGGCAGTTCTAGGGAGGGATATCTATGTTGAAAAACATAAGAGAGAGTGACGCTTTCAATGTAGAGCTGGTCCTGAATCACAAGAGACAGCAAAAGGTGTTCCAGAGAGGGGGAACATCCCACACCAAGGCGCCGAGGTGGGAACACACTTAGCCAGGCAGAGGCGACCAGGGCATGTGGAGCCATTCCCTTTGGCTAGAGCAGGGTGGGGTGGAACATGTTAATTCCTTCCCTCATCGGAGGGCTTGGCACAGGACAGATGAGCAAGGCATGTTTGTTCTCTTTGTGTTGCCCACTTTCCTCTCTGGGAGATATTCTTCTGCCTCTACCTTGTCTTTGGCTGCTGGCACAGCTCTGCCTCCAGGACCAGGCCTATGAGCCCTGGTAGTGATACTGGATACCTGGACTGCTCCCAAAATGTAGCCCTTTGTGCCCCTGGAAACAGTTCTAGGCCTCTGTGACCTGGGCTTAGGCTGCTGGTCTCACTGAAGCCAGGGCCTCATAGAGAAATGTGAAGGGGCATCTATTTATATCTCTGGTTAAGCCCGGGCTACATGTTGCTAGACTGTTGTGGCAGGAATTTTCCATGAGCACAGAGAAGGCTATTTTTTTCCATGGCTGAAGAAAGTGCATCTGAGTGGGCTTGCCCCAGGGCATCAGGCACAGGTGGCTATCCAAGACTAAGCCAGGGAGTCAGCTCTTCTCCAGTGGAGAGAGAAATTGAGCAGGCTCAGATTGGGCCACTGCTAAAGGACATGCCCTGGAGAGGGGGCTGCCTGCACTCTCAGCCTCCCTGACTTGAGGTGAAGGGAGGCAAGAGTGGACTTGGTTGGAAATTTCCAGAAGGCTGGCAGACAGGACATCACAAGCCCACATGCCTGAAGAGCCAGAGGAATCAGGCCTCTCTAAGATAGCTGAGCAGGAACTCCTGCCTATGCGCAACTTGGGTGACAGATGGAGAAGAGTGGGGTGTATCGAGGTGGCAGAAATTGGCCATGGCATTATACAGAAGCCTCTGCCTGCCAGGATTTCCCACCCTGTTTAGGAAAAGTATAAATAATTTCAGGGACAGCGAATGAATTTTTCAGACTAAATTTGCTTTATACTTAATAGTTGCTGTTTGTATTATGGAAGAGTTTCTACTTAGGAAATCCCTTAGCCTTTGCAGGCAATCTCTTGATCCTGTCTGTCAAACATTCTCAGAGCAACCTGAAAGAGACAAAATCATCAGAATGGTGATCACACTCCATCTTGCAGTATTGTATAAAGTAGTCACTGTAGGGAAAGTCAATAAAAATTGTATTCTCTGCTGTGTTACATACAGGTTGTCCTGAATCGGGAAGGCATATCTAAAGCACAAAATGTTTCTTTTCAATGTGATCAGTTCTCTTTTCTCTTTATTCATTAAAACTGCCTTGTCAGACCTGTTAAATTGATTGCTCCCTATCAACATGTATACCATGAGGTGCTTTAGAACAAAACAATAAGACATATACAGTTGTCCCTTGGTATCCAATTTTAATTGGTTCCAGGATCTTCTACAGAGACCAAAGTCTATGCTCAAATCCCTAGTACAAAATGGCACAGCATTTCCATATAAACCATGTACATCCTCGTATATGCATTGAATAATCTCTAGGCTACTTATAACACTAGGGCAATATAAATGCTATGTAAATAGTTGTTATACTATATTGATTTGGGAATAATGACAGGAAAGGACTGTATATTTTTGTACAGACACTAGTTTTTTTTTTCTGAACATTTTCTATTTATGATACATTGAATCCATGATTGTGTTCATATCCATGGAGGGCTGAATGTAACTACCATTTACTGAGAACTGCCACATGGTAGATACTGATATTGAGAGATATTGAGAGATACTCTCTTCTCAATTCTCAGAGTAACTTTTTAATGTAGGCACTATAAGTATCCCCATATTATAGATGTGGTAACCGAGACTGAGAAAAGCTATGTCCAGAATCATACAATAATTAGCAAAAGCCAGAATGTGAGTTTGTACTAATGCCTGGTCTCCATTGCCACCAGTCAGGAAAACCGTGGGGCTGAAGCTTACACTGTGCAGGACTCACAGGACTGGTGTGAATGCACAGTGGCCAACCCCCTGGCTGTCTCCATTTTAAAGGAAGAGAATTTGAATCATGGACTCCAGGAAAGGTGTGTGAGAGTGAAAACCAGATGAGAGCCCACCCATGCCCAGGCAGTCTGTAGGGGCAAGAGGAAGGGGCTCCAGGATCTGATTTCCTGAACACACAATGAAGTGTTCGGAGTGTGCCTCTGCATGGAGTGTAGAGAGAGAACAACAGGCACTGGGAAGTGACAGGGATCTTTTGAAACTCAGTGTGTTTGATGTTGCATCTCTCTTCCTGCCATTCTCATAGTCAGGGACTTTACAGCCATGCACATCTGCGGGCCACCTCCTTCCATTTATGGAACACAACAACACTTTCTTATTAGAGTCCTAGTGCCGGTTGCCTGGGGCACTTGACCAGGCTCCGATTTTCTCCGCATGTTGACTGTGTTTAAGTTTCTAGGGGAAACACTAAGCAAGACATGATTGTTGTTTTTATATGGAAAGCTGGATTTAAAACAGTAACTGTACAGTGAGAACACTGGAAGAGAAAGGTGACACTCAAGGCCAGGGCAAGAGCCAGTTGCCCTGGGCGTCTTGGCCTGGATGTCTGAGATATCAGGACAAGAGAGCTTCTTGGAATGCTGTCAGTCCAGCCAGGCAGCCAAGTTTCAGGCCTGCAGAGCAGCAAGAAGCAGGAGAGGGCATATCCTCCACCACTTTCCAAAACGTCATCAAGGACTCCCAGATTTCAGGAGATAGATGTTTTGTGGGCACAGAAATCTCCAGGTGGGAGTCACATAGACTCTACTTCAACTTTCCACTAAATAGTTTATCCAATGAGTGCTCCTATGCTGTGCGTAGTAAAGCTATCATTTTTATATTGTTGACATGTTTACACATTCTTTGGCAGCCAGTAGATTTGGTTTGGTATGAAAGATAAAGAATAGATGCTTGATTGTTGACAGGGACTTGTCCATTGTTTTTTTTTTTTTTTTTTTTTTCCTAATGTGGTGCTGGGGATTGAACCCAGGCCTTTGTGCGTGTGAAGCAAACCCTCTACCCACTGAGCTATATCCCTAGCCCTGTCCATTGATTTTTGAAGGGAGGAGGGAACCCTCTTTGAAATAGTTGATCTCCCAGGATTGTCAGGAAAAGGAAGAGCTCCATATGGCAAAGTCAGTACTAGTAAAACAGGGTCATGTCTGTCCATACTGCCAGTGCCTTTGCATGAGTGGTCAGTGCCACCAGCCATTGCCCTACCCAGGGCAAGTCAGAGAATTAGATGGCCTCAGGGTCCACAGCTCAAGGAGACTTCTCAGAGCAAGGAATTAGGCTACCCCTCATTCCTGATGGGGTAACCTCTGAGCTTCAATTCCTCTCATTGCATTTATTTTGCTTGTCTGAGTCTCTTGCTGAACATTCTCCCTGGACAACTTATCACCCATCTTGTCCCCCCTGAAAACATGAGGCCCCACCATTGCCCAGCTTTGACAGAGGTTGATGGCATCCTGTGTTTTCCACTCCAGCATCTGCCATCAGGGCCAGATCACAGCCCTCATGTTCAGATGAGCCCAGTCCCAGTTGCTGCAGATGCCTTCTTCTTACTTCTGAGGAGTCCCTGAGTGGCCCGTCCTTCCTTCTTGAGCTGTCTCATAGACCTTCTGAGCATGGTTCTGCCTCTCTGGTGGCTCCTTGCTTAAACACAAGCAACGGCATTTGCACAAGTCATCACTGACTCAACACCTTTTAGAGGAAGAGAAAACACAATGGAGAAAGTTGTTAAGCCTGTGAATAAAATCAACCTTGGAAACCCACATGGGGGAGAGGACAGAGGCAGGGAGGGATGTTTACAGTTTGGAGACAACTATTGAATGCTTCCCTGGCATTCGAGGAGAAAGACTCACATAGCTGACAAAGAGTCCTGATGTTTCTGGGTCTTCCCACCCTCCCTGATTCTGCAAAAACTTATGAGTGTTGGCTGGGCCGGGGGCGTTCACCAAGGCGGAGAAGACATTTGGGCTCTGTCCAATGCTTGGGTCAAATCCATCTGCAGTGTTCATCCCCACAGTAAATCCCATCAATGTGTCTCCAAGCAGTCATTGAAATTTCATGTTCTCAAGTTAAGTAGTTCTCATCCCAGTTTCGAAACCTGAGTTATTATCAAGATTAAATAAAGGGATGTTTTTCCCCCCTTAATGAACGATCCTCCAAATAGCCTCGCGTCCTTATGTCTGTCTATTAAACTCAGGGAAAGTTACTGTAGAAGATTTATGTTAGAAAACAGTGCAGACGGGAGAGGGGGAACCAAGGGAATCTCTCTTGGGGACATGATCACTGTGTAAATCAGATTCCAGGGTGTGCTGGATACTTCCTGTGTCTCTGCCCCCTCCTGAGTTCTGTACACATTCTGTGGGAGACAGGGAGCCTACTTTCACATCCAAGGCTCCAAACACTGTTGTATCCAATTATAGAACCAGTCAAGGAAGGAGTTTACACCCCAGTGTGGAAGTCTTTATTTTCTTTTCTACTCTAAAGTTTACAATCGAACTGTGGCAGAGGTGTCAGAAGAGAATTTCACATAAATCACAGCCTCTTGTTTTCTCGCTGAGATGCTAGGGCCATCTCTGCAGTCACTGCTCCTTTCTCATTCATTCATTCATTCGTTCATTCAGGAAGCATGACTAAGCACTTACTTACCCGTGGCCCAATATATTGCATGAGCTGATGCCTCCCATGAGTGGTGTGGAATAGACCCGAGCCCAGGAAACAGACCACCAAGGTGTAGCAGCTCAGTGCACAGAGCAGGTGCTAAGGGTGTCCTTTGGAAGGTGCAGGGCCCAGGGTGAATGGGGAGGGGCCACAAACTTACTTGAGGGGCTCCCAGTGAGTAAGAAACCTAGGTTTTATCTAACAAAGAAGCTGAGTGGCTAATATGGGGTTCTGGGAGGCCACAAGGAAAGGGCTGCCCCACTTGCTTTCACTTAGGGTGTTCTCGTGGAATTGAGATGCCCCATCAACCTCATCCCACTCCACACAGCTGCCCCTCACACTGACAGTGGGACTTCATATAGGGAGGATAAGGCAGGTGGGGTCTGCATCCATTTGGATGCCCCAAGGCCCTGCACCTTCTTGAGTCTCTGCTCTCATTTCTGCCAGCTCCTGGATTTTTATTATCTTCTTAGGTGTTCTTTACCTCCAGTCTTTGAACCACATCTTTAGTTTGTGCCTCTTGGACAGGGGTTGCAGTGAGAGATAAATTTCCTCCTATTTCCATATGTCCCATTCCATCCTCCCACCCCTAAGAAGCCCAGCTGCCCCCTGCACATGCCCCATAATGATCAGGACACCTGTGACCCTCAACATGCATGTGGCGAACAAGAGAGAGGAAGAATCTTTGCTTTGGGGACTCAAGTCTTCAAAGCCTTGGCTCTGGGAAGCAACGGCATGATCCCACAGAGCCCAGCTTCTGTAGGGCTAAAGAAGAGCCTTTGGTGGGTTGCTCCCCGGACAGTTTTCATATTTGGACAATAAAATCCCCTAAGATGTCTGACCCTGATGTTTACCAGAGACCCATTCCTGGCACCTCATTGCTTATTAAGAAAACAAGGCGAGGCGTCGACTTGGGGGTCCCTGTGCGTCCCTGTCGGGGACGGAGCATTCGTCAGGCCTTGGTGCTGACAGATGGGCCCGAGAAGGAATTCCTCAGTTCACCCCCCCACTGCCTTGGTGGCCCGTGGCTGCTCCCCTCCATCAGGGTCAATCTTAAAAAATTATTATTACTTTGGCCATAAGCCCAGGGACAAATGTGGCTTTTGTCCAACGACAGCCCACAGGCAGAAATCTGTTGTTCCTTCTTCACCTCTGATGCTATAACTTCATCAAGGACAGGGTGGAGGCAGAAGAACCTGATTTCAGTTCCAAACTCTCCCCTGGAGGCTTGAAAGTGAGCCCTGAGGAGATGCTGCTGGGCTCTTCCCACAGTGGTCTGTGGGTTCCAGAAACAGGTCCTATGGGTTGGACTCTGATGGAGCCGAAGGGAATGGGAGTCATGGTCACACAGGGCTTCTTAGGGAAGTTGTAAGGGGGTGACTCTACCTGGTAAGATCTGAGGTCACCTCCCAGCCCCTCGCTTGGAGAGCCAGCAGGGGGTCCGGAAGACTACGGCTTTATGGCCGAGGGTCTGTGAAGATGATCCATGGCTCAGCCCCTTCTGAGGTGAGCTATCCTGGATGGATGATCAGGCACCAAGTGCCAGTTTTCTCCTCTGTAAACTGTGGGAGTGATGCTCACCTTGCGGTCATCATGGGTGGTGAGGCCCCATGGCCTCTTGTACCCAAGAAATTCAGAGAGATGCAAGCTTCCCTGCGTCAGTATTCATCTCTACCCAGCTCACAACATCCCTCTTCTTCTGGGTCCCATTTGTCTGTCTGATTAGAAAGTGCAGATTTCCACCTGTTGGCTTCCTCAGACAGCCCTCCCTCAGGCGGCCGTGCCCACCTCACAGAGAGACCAAGCTACTCCCTGAGCTGTGGCTGGGTGGAAAGCAGCACTTCAGAGAAATGAAATTACTCCAGGGACGGGGAGGCTGGCCTGGTGGAACCATAGCTGGAACCTATAGGGGAAGCTAGCAGACCTGGCCTGGGTGGGTACAGAGAATTGGGACAGGTTTAATGTCCAGGACATAAAAGGAGACAAAAGCCCTGTGTCTCCTTTTATGTCCATCTTCCTTGACCAAGGGTGAGGGCATTCCAGGGACAGCAGGCAGCTGCCCCGTTGCTGCTTATGTAGGTTGTCACAGTAGAGAAGTCTGAGGAGACCATGTCCCTATAGGAGGTGTGTCTGCCTGTCTTCAGGACAAGGACACTGAGCCAGGCATGGAGGATGTTTACATCCACAGGAGGGCTGGGGGAATCAAGGGAAGGGAAGTGAGTTGAAGACGGGGCTTGGCTAACATCTGCTCTGCCAGGTGGGAAAATGTTATAATCAGTTCTGGACTTGCAGAGGGGAGTTACTTCTCCATGTCCCACAAGTGCCTTGTGCTCAATTGGTGTCATGCCCACATGGATATGCTTCTTAACTGCAGGTGGAGGCCCACCTGGCCTATGGCGGTGGCCTGGAAATTTGGGGAGGGTTCCTAGGAATGAGCATTGGTCAATGCCCTGGGCTCTCTGTCCTGCTTGATTGTCCTGGCTCTGATTGGGGGCAGACAGGAGTAGTGGAAATATGCAAGTAAAGAAATAATTCTATACAATAGGCCCACTGACCCCCACATGCTTTCTTTTTTAAAAAGCAATTTACCCGCAGTCCTGCCTGGCTGAAGTCCACAGGGTATATTACATTCTTCAGCAGACTACCTATTATCTGGCAGGAAAAATGCAGGCCTCCAAATGCTGATAAGAACACAAGTTATTAATGATTTTAAAAATATGTCAAAATGAATTCTAATGTTATGCATAACTAAAAAGAGTCAATAAAAAGATTAAAAATACGTTATTCCATGGTGAAGCCACTTTGTGACCTTGACATAGACCAAATCCCAGAACTGAGGGAGATAAGGTCATTTCTCCCAACCACAAAATCTCTGAGAACAGGTTCCAAATGGAACCCACTAGCGTGGGCAAAGTGACCTCTAGTTGTCCTGACAGCAGGGACTTGAATGTCTGATTTCATCCTGTTGTCGGTCAAAAGTCAAGAGGAGGAACTGGCGGGACTCTCTGGAAACTTTCCTGGGTCCTCTAATAAAACTGGAGACCAAGAAAGAAATGTCATCCCTCTCTTTTCTGAGAGGACCCACTTTTTCCCCAAGAGTGTCTCCTTTTCCCTTTTCTTATCCCTTCTAAAAAACTCATGCCTATAACTTTGTGTGACATGTCTGACTTGATCACAAAAATTGGGGTGAGGTGGAGCAGGAGGGACTTTGCATGCCTCAGTTTCCCAGAAGGCCCCAGCACTGTGACAGTACCTACCAACGGTGTCTGGCTGAATGCTACATATCCCTCTATGTCCCACCTTAAAGTCCAGGTCCTGGACCGTCTGCTGCTCCCTGTGAGATGGAGTCAGGAGAGGAGGGTCTAGTGTACTAGAAGCTGTTAGCCACTTGCCTGGGTAGCCTCACAGGCTTGCTCTAGGGCAGCGTTTATGACATCACAGGGAAGCTTGCTGTGGCAAGTGACACAACAGTTGAAGGAGAGGTGGGCACAGGGCTGCAGGCCCCATCACCACTCCCAGGGGAGCTGAGGCCACTCCTGAGTCCTTCATCCCTCTCCAGTTAGCCCTTCTGGTCATTTCCTGGACCTCTTCTCTCGACCTCTGTTGGTGCCACAGGAATCAAGTGCAAGGCTGGATCTTGAGCTGAACCCTTTCCCTCTGTGACAGCAGCTTGAAGTTCTTCATCTCCCTGGGGATGGCCTGCTGCCCTTTAGCCTGGACAGCCTTCTCATCTCCTTTCCTTAACCACTGGCTCTGAGACAGCTGGTGAAGCATTCAGTGGATACCAAAGGGCTGGTGTGTCCATTACCACAGAGGATCCAGGGAATCTTCCCATCTTCTTTTGGACAAGAAGAGAGTCTCATGTCACTAGGGCCCATGGTCCTCTGTGCAGATCTCCTGGATAACAATCAGCAGACCACAAAACCAAAAAGTAATACTGTGATCATACTAACTACTCTTACTATCCTCTTGCTCTATAAAATTCCTATCCCAATCCCTGAATGTGTGTAGCCTGGTGATCAGTTGCTT